TTGTTTTCTTAATTTTGAAATAGGGGATACATAACCTCTTATGAATTTTTCCCTTAAAATTTTCAATGCAAGTCCATTGCGGCCCATTTAACTTCAAGCCATTTAATGTACTATTTCTCTTCATAGTTTCATATTTGAATTTTGTCATTTTTCGCCACCTTTTACATTCTTTTCTCCAATTCTTTATTAAATATAAAGTTTTACCTACAAAATACAATGTAACATAAATTAGGTAGAATTTATCCAAAAGACAACAAAACATTATGATTTAGGGCCTCAAATAAGNATGTAACATAAATTAGGTAGAATTTATCCAAAAGACAACAAAACATTATGATTTAGGGCCTCAAATAAGTGTAGAAACTTCACTTATCAACGTTGCACTCTATCATTTACTCACAATGTTCCATAAGTCACTGAATTTTAAAATATTTTCGAGTGGTCACTAAACTTTAATACGTTGTATCCATTACTCATTCACCATGTTTCATTAGTTTTTGAAGTTATACTATATGATGCTTTACTAACAACTTTAAAAATGCTTTCGAATTGTCATTGAATTTCATAATATTTTCAAGTAAAGTTGATTTTCTATGAAATTTGACATAAATCAAGAAAATAAAATAAATATCGGCTAGTTAATGAGACTTTCAATCTAAAACGTAAAAATTGATATTGGTTGAGAATATATAATTTCTTTGGTTGTCAAAACCTATGTTCAAAGGGAAAAAAGAATGCTAGTTTGAAATTGACTTACATCTTAATTTAGATCATAATCTTTCTTTATGTTGAAAAAATAAAATAGAGAAATTATTTCCTTATTTCGACTGAGATTAGACCAAAATCAAGAAAATAAAAAATTATATCTCAAGAAGGCAGTGAAATTTTTGATTTAAAGTTAATAATGTTAATTAATACTAACAAAATATAATTTTTAAAGTTGTCATAAGGTGATTCAAGAGGAAAGAATGGCGTTGACTTCATGTATGGTAATTTATATTTCAATTTTTTTAATTTTTGAACAGTTATATCTGTAAAGTTCAATGACTACTCGAGAGTATTTTAAAGTCAGTGGAGATATTCAATAACCAATTAAATATGGTGAATGAGCGGTACAATGTAACATATTAAATTTTAGTGACCACTAAAAGCATTTTAAAGTTTAGTGAGGAATAAAATAGGGTGGGTAGGTGAGTAAGTGCTGAATTTCAAAGTGCTCATTAGAAAGTATTTTAAAGTTTATCGAGTAAAGCACCACGAATAAAGCATGATGAAAGTAAAGAGACTCCATCGGAATGGAAAGAGAGAGAAAAGATAGGAGACTCCAGTGCAATGGAAAGAGGAGACTCCACCGGAACTCCTCCGTTGGGCGCCACCGTAATGCGCATATGTGATTGTTAATTTTCCCTCAGCAGTTTGTGGAGGCTTAGTGAGCGGAATAGCTTAATCGTGATTGGCAATGCTGAGGCTCAAACCCTAATCAATGATGTGATCCCAGAAATTTTGGCTCAAAGTCGTGTTTTGCTAATACACGTTTTTATTAGTGGAAACGTTTTTACGAGTTGATGACACATGTTCAAATTCTGGTCCTTGGATTTTCGCCTTATTGCTATGTGACACACACACACACACACACTTGCAAAGTGCTGGATATTTTGCATTCTTCTGCCTTTCAAGATTCTTCCAACCTTCAGGGTTCTTCAGAGAGATGCCTTATTCTTGTAGATTACGATTTGATCTATGTGTTCTTCATCTCTCTTGATGAACTTGTAAACTAAGATCACTCTATTTTTTAGCCTATGTAATCTGTATTTGTAAGTGATTGCTGTGAGAATAAGGGTTTTCTTGCAGTCACGATTTCAGTATGCGATTGTGAAATTTCTTGAGTGATTCCTTATAGATCTGCAGTTTGTTGTTAAAGAGATAAGTGTTCTTTACTTTTCTCTTATGTTGGAAGAGCGTTTTGTAACTTGTTTTCATTTTTTGGCTAAATAGTGAATCCGAGCAGAAATCTATTATTTGGATGCTCAACGGGGATGTAGGCAGTAAATGTGGTCGCAAAACCTCCGGGCCTTAGGCCAAAATAATCCTTTGTGTTCAATTTTTAATTTTTTGCAAGTTTATTTTCTAATCGATTGATGTTTAGTGGAATTTTTTTTAATATCATGTGTTGTGGGCCTTTTCAGGCAATCGTTGTGGGTTCTACTTGCTGGCTTTGCCTATAGGAGTAATTTTAGCTTTCAAAGTCCATCTCGGGTCGCGGGGACTATTGATTGGGTTCTTGGCAGGAGTGATTTCTTGCTTGATTTTGTTGTTGGTATTTGTTGCAAGAATCAATTGGTGTGAATAAGATGAGAAGATACAGAGACTCGCTAAAGATTGCCATAGAATTTGCATTTTTTATGAGGGTTTTCTGATGAACACTTGCGTTTTCGGATTTTAGGTGAAGGCTATTTGGTAGTGCTGGCGTGGAGTGGTGTGTGACAAGTTAATTGAGTAATTTGCGATCTACTACGTGATTTGTAATTAGTATTTGATCGTCAGATGTAACAAAATATAACCATCTGATTTTTGAATTTTTTTTTCACAAACTTGTTATTTTTGAAATTGTATTTTAAAATATTTTGTAATTATGAATTTTTCCTTTTTTTTCTTTTTCAATTCAAGTCTAGTTAAATCTCGTCTTGAATTTTCGAAAACAAACTTTAAATTCAAGATTGAATCATCGTGCTGTAATAAGAACATTATTTTAATCTTGTGATGCTTTGATACTTCATTATGTATAATGTTATAAACTTATCATTAAAAGGATTTTAAACATGATATGATTACTTAAAATCTTTGAACTTGCATTGTTGTTACCATACTAATTAAAGAGTTCATTTTTATCATAGTTTCCTAACTCGTAATTTTCATTCTTTGTATCATGGGAGAGGAGATCTCTCGTCCCTATTTTTGTAGTCTCGTTATCTATCATCCGGTTATTTTTTACACATCAGCACATCAACTATTGCAAAAAATGAGAAGACCACATTTTAAATTTGATGTCACTTATTACGTTGACGAATTTCCATTTGCTAATGAGATTTGATGTGTTGCAGTGTCAAAAATAAGTGAATGGATGGCTAAATTCAACAGTAGCAATCGTAATTTCTCGACTGATTGATTTGTAAGTCTACTAAGCCGTATTTAATTCATTAGATTATTGAAACACTGTATTAGGTGTGTACATTGAACCTCAAATGATTGAATAGGTAAAATCCATGTTCTAACTTGAAGAAAATACAATTTACATCTTACTCTTGATTTCTTTACTATAGTTTGAAACAGTTTTAAATTATAAAATATTATCTAGCAATTCATATCAAACTTATCTTTAGAACACGTTTGTAAAGTGGATTGAGAGAATATTATAGTAGGTGTCGAGTTAAATCGATAGTGAGAGTCTATAGAATCTGAGGCCATTGATATTATGGACGGTAGTGACTATATTCAATGGAAGACATCCTTCAAAGAACGAAAGATGCTTTAATTCTTCAAATGGATATTGAATCTACCCAATTCAATGAATCTTGCTACATTTACACACATTGGTACACAACCCCCTCACATGTGTGTGGGTCCCACAATGGAGCCCCATTGTGGATCCTCATTGTGGACCTCACACACATTTGAGAGGGATGTGTACCAAGTGTGTACAAGTAGTATTTTTGTAATTTAATGTCATTGACAATTAAGTTCCTTGTACATTCCTGCTGACACCCCTCCTCGTGTCAAAAATTTGGCAAGTGATATGAAGGAAAAGTCTACATATATATAATATATGTACATAATAGTATCCATAATGTGATGTGGACAAAATCATGTTGTTGATGTGAAAGTGTGAAATTTAAATTAATGGTTGGATTCAGTGTCACGTGTAATTATGGACACCATTATGTATAGATTTATATACATGTTGCACTTCTCGTGACATGAAAGGGTGGCTAGAATACATTTCATGTCAAAGAATGTCAAACTCATTTGCCAGTACGTGTACAGATAAAATAGCTGGTGGGGAATCTAGAGACTTTGAGGCCATTGATCTTATAGATGGCTATGATTAAATTTAATGGAAGAGACGTGTCAATGGTGGAGAATCTAGAGAATTTTTGGCCATTGATCTCATCGGTGGCTATGATTAAATTTAATAGACTCTAAACATTTGACTAGCAAAAACTTTGGCATAGAACGTTTATTAAATCGCTTTTTTATTTAAAATAAAATTGACTGATAACTATTTTTCAGCATAGATAGTTGATGAACTGATAAGATTGTTTTAATTCAGCCACGACTCACATATTTGATAGTCAAGTAAACGATTTTGGTGGTGTTTTCAGGGACATGACTTTTAGTGGCAAATGAAAATGACAAATCGGCCAAAAAAGTAACTTAAATTGCACTCATCTTCGGTTTGAGTGGATAAATACAGGACTTAGAACGATAGGTTTAAACGTTTAAAGAGTATTGTGAAACCAAACTACATGTGAAAAAGTACTTTTTCTATCTTAAAAATGTCATCTCACTAGCGTCATCAACCATGTTAGCAATGCCATTAAACACGTAAACAAAGATGTTTACAAACCCGCTACAGTGGCATTAAAGTGTGATAATTTTCTTTACAGCGTGTGATGTTGCACACTTTTTTACTCTCGATTTCAACACCACTTCAAATAATTCATGACAGATTTTTACACATCATACAATGTAAACCTTAATGTATACATGGAATGTACAAATAACATTTTCCGAACGTTTTAACTTATTAACATATGCATGAAGACTGAAATAACTTTATAACTTCATTGACGGTTTATGATCAACAAATATTCGAGGACCAAAGTGATGCATTTTGAAAGTTGGTTGATCGCCCAAGTTTCTAACCGGAATGAGACCATGATGTTAAATTGAACAGATGAATGATAAGCAAGCTTTGAAATTTCTAACATGGAATTATAATTAATAATGATTGAAATTCAAACAATTGTTGTGTAAGCTGATTATTGTCGAGGAGTAGCTTACAAATGTTATTTGTAGAATTTTTAATGTTTGATGGGATGGAGGGACTAATTTTGTTATTTAAATCAACTCAGGCAGGTCGAAAAAGACAGCTAAAAGTTTCTAGATAAGTGCATTTGCATCTAAACAAACCTCAGGGTATCAAAGAACAAGTCACAAAAATCGATAATTTCACAACTTATATGTGTAACCCGATGATTCGTAAGACAACTTTTTTTTCCCTTTTTGCTCAGCTTCTAGTTCTGTGGGTTGACAAAACCAAGGGAATTCGAAATTGCTTCACGAATAATCCACTCTCATTTCAACTCTTGCCATGTGAAATTCATAATGTCAAACATTATATTACAGGACAATGAGCATTTAGCTACAAGTTATATGCTTCCAGTCACTAGGTACTTCACACAGAGATAAATAAGAAAGCACGAAATAGCGTATATATAGGAGAAAAGGAACCTATAAAAAACTTAATAATTTTTATGGTTAAAAAGATTGCTTAATAGCAAACTTTTTTCTAACCTTGTGAATTTTACCAATCCTTGGAGAAGACGAGCAAGAGGAAGACGATGATAAGCTTGTCCAGTTATTTTCAGCTATGTCTTTGTTGAATGCCCTCATCACATCTTCCTTGAGTTCCATGTAGCGCGTTCTTTTCATCCTCTGTTCCTCTGGAGTGCCCTTCTCCAATAACAGAGTACCTATAGTATCATCCTCCACGAGCTTATCCAGAACTATTGTGCAGTTGGGAAAGAAGCGTCTAGCTGTCTCCACTGCAATCAAGGAAGAGAAAGAAAATAAGTCCTAAACCTGTGGAAATAAAGTTTTGACCTTGTTGCAAATATTTCTTTTACAAAACCAACTTTTACCTTGTTCCTAAGGTTCTATTTATCAACTGGTTCTTGAACTTGTCATAAGGTTCTGTTCTTACTGACCAGTTTTTGACTTTACTTCAAAGGTTTTTCGTTTTATAACCGGTTCTTGACCCTTCCTTACGTTCTTTTATGATTTTATCCACCGGATGCACATTTCCTTAACAAACATTATCCTGCCTCGCAGTTTTAAAGTTTGACATCTTTGCTCTACGATATAGTTTCCAAACTCAATCTGGTTTCTGTAACACCATTTTGCGTTCAATGGAATGGTAAGTTTATAGAAATCTATTCATATTCTCCAAAATATTATAATATTTTACAGGTTCTTGAGAGATTATATCCATAATAATTTTATTGCGTTATTGGTATATTTTGTAAACCTGTAAATTGGGTGACTCTGTGTAATTTTCAGAAAAAAAAAAGTTGCACAAATTTTATTTACTGTTCATAACCCAATAAAGCAAACTTCATACAAAAAAGTAGTAAATTAGGTCATTCTCTGACTAGAACTCATAAAGCAACTACAGACCTGAAACTTTATCAGTCAACTTCTTTCACTTTCTCAAAGCTCTTCACGAGCAGTGAAACCTAACATAATTTCGAAACCTTCTAGCAATCTTGACTTAGGCTATGTGATGAGAAAGTTTCAATTTGGATTTCTGTTAGGCTGAACTCAGGTGTAAATGAACATTCAACCACATGAACAACAAAAAGGGTAACAAACTAGAAAGCAAACGGCGCAAGATTTACGTGGTTTAGTTGAGCCATGGGAGATGAGAAAAATACACTGTTAAACATGGAAATGCAAGAATAGAAAGAAACATGTGAAATCCCCAAACCCAGATGACTATCAACTGTACACCATAGAAATAAAACCACACGTCTATATATAGGTACAAATCCCTAAAATCTATGTTTTGCTCAACTACTCTCCACAAAACATGGCATGTTGCTGATAAACTGAGACAAAAGATTCAAGAGATACAATATAATTCCTCTTCAGAATCCTTTTCCTTTCACAAGATACATTTTTGACACTGAAGAAGAGATTCTGGAAAGGCTTCACTAAGCAGCAAATTCACACCTGATTTTGTCTAGATCAATTTTATCAGACAGAAGAATGTATTCAATTAAGATGAGGGAACGAGAAAAGGACGAGATGAGAGTCACTAACAAGGCAACTAGTCAAGGATTTTTGGAGGAAAACATGTGCTGCAATGCGGAAAACAAGTAACATGCATGATCCAAGAGTCAAAAGAGTGAGCTTATTACACCTTCTGAAATCTAAAGCCTGTCATCTGCTAATGGACTATTTATATACTTTTATTCACTTCTACGTCCAAATTAAACTTAGGATCCTGTGACCGAAATGGGAGAACCTTGGGGGTGAAGGCAAATCGAAACTAAAAAGTGCAAAGGGAAATGCAATGAAGTGGGTTTTGTAGAAAGGGGAAAAACCTTTTTGCATGAAATGAGGAATTTAAGTTAAAAGGAGCATTCCCTCTCAAACCTCCTCGAGCAGAATATGACTAGTTATGCCTCACTGTATTTCTCGAGTCGGAAATAGTTTGAAGACCTAGTAATCCATAGAGAGAGAGCTTAAGAATGTATAAAATGCTTGGAAAATGTTTATATTCATAAGCATAATTCATTTGAAAATCTATCAATTTTTCCATTGACACCATATGAACCCAGATTTGATGCTACAGTTTTCTACTTATATTTTCTAATTGTGATTAGAATCCAAAAGGGCTGAATAATCATTCATGTCAATCAATAGGCAAGTGATTAGATTGCGGAAGGTTGTGATAATTAAGTTTACCAGTTTTTTGCAGCGATTGCAGCCTCAACTGAAGCCTTTTGACTTGCTCAGATGGTATTTCATTTAAATCCACCTCCCGGAAATCCCCATGTGCGCCTTTGGATGCTGAAATGCCAGCAAACTCTGAGGTAGAATCTGCATGTGCTACCTGCATGGCTAGTCTGGCTTCTAGAGGAAACAGGGCTCGTGCCATTGCCACTGCCACATGAAAACGAGATATATAACACTCGCATTTAACTTAATGTAAAACACATTATTGGGTAAAATAAAGGTAGATCTGAAATAAGATAATGTTGATCATAAACCTACATTAACCCAAATTTAATAGGTTCCAGGAGTTCATTAATCACCATGGAGCCTTTATCCCTGAATATGGGGCATGCTTCTTATTCAATTTAGCAACAAATGATTCTTTCAACTGGGGAAAGAAATATTGTGTATTTTGCATTATATTGATTAATGATTAACATACAAATAAATACAAACTATACCTTAATGAGGGATCTAGACATATTTTAAACACAAGAATGAAGTTAGATATGACAAGCCAATTGAATTAGATCAGGCTGAAGAAAGCATGTGGAGGTCCTCACGTGAGTTTCTAACAAGTGTTAGTAGTATATGTACATAGTTAAAATACAAAAGAAATACCAAATAAGCAACCTTATCTACCAAGAGATACAGATACATGATTATAACATATCCCTGTAAATGGCATATTACGAGTTAATTAGTAAATTCGTTGTGTGCAACAGTTGACAATACAATTTAATATAAACAGAATGGTGTTTTTTAATTTGACTTCCGAAGTTTTAAACATTAGGCAACAACTCTGTGGCCAAGAAAAAAAAAAAATCAGAAAAGATGAAATATAACTGAAGACTGGAGCAGAAATTAGTGCAAATCCTAATGAATATGCATTTTTTATCCCACCTCCATCCAGGTATCTGATTTTAAATAAATTAAGAATGCATTTGTTTATAACAGCAAGGTAAATGATGAAGAATTCAAAAATGCATTAGAAGAACCCTTTACACTCACCGTCTTCATTTTATTGTTTGATTTCAGCTCATATTAGTTTTTCACCTGTATTTTTTTATTACTCGAAGTCTCGAATAACAGTTGGTGGCTGAAATAATTTTTTTTGTATTCAGAAAAAATAACTAAATGGATGCATTGCTCCAAAAGTTTTCATCCATGACTTCTCACTTTGAGCTTCCTTATGTAGAATATGTTACAGGACCAATCACTTCTCAGTGAATGTAACTGGTGACCTAAACAAGTTCCATTTTAATGTGCCACTATGAAGCAGAAAGAATTTAAACAACCAAATAGTATATATTGTTGAACCACATAAGATCTCATCAAATGGCCTCACATCAAATTAGACGTCTCTTTATCTTTTCATATAATGTGCACGATTCGGATTAACAGTTGATGTTTCATTCCATATGATTTACAAATTCAATTAAATAAATTCCTCCGCCATTTTTTATCCAAGACCAATCCTGATTTGAGTAATAAACACGTAAGTGACAAATGGATAGCTACCAGAAGTCTTACTATTCATCTTCGATATCAAAAATCCTTCCGAGCCACAGTTTTGTCCATTTTATTTAAAAATAAATTTAACATGTAAAACTTAATCAAATATTTGCAAAATCACTTTAATACTAATAGACAAAGCATATGAGATAGAGAAATGCAAGACAGTGCATTCTCAAAGTGAACACAAAGCATATACATGCATAGGTTCAGAAAATAAAATCTATACATCTTATGGTGAATTTGGAAGAGAAAATGTAAGTCTTATCCCAAATGCAATGGTATCCCTTAATTTCAATGAGTTTTGAGAGTGATGCTGCTACAAATTGAAGAAGAAGAATCACTAGCAACTGTACAACATATCCAAATTTGAACAAAAAAGACTTTTAAGAGATGCATTTTATCATTGATTCTTACCTCTATTTTCAAAAAGCAACAGATTCATGTGAAGATCATCAGGCACCATCATTGACGACATAGACACGTTCCCAGCCAGTGGATTTCCAAGCATCTCTCTCTCCAGCACATCAATACATAACCTATCTTTATTAGTTTCGTCGCCTTCCTTCGTTGCCTCGTTATAGTCCTTTGGCCGGGTTAGCCTCCGGCATATTTTAACAGCCGTCTGTCCATCAATTGTAGTATCTGATACTGACGCACCCTCGTTCAGCAGCCCCACTATTACTGATGGATCCTTACGCCGGGCGGCTACATGGAGCACAGTGTACCCTCGAAAATTCCTAAGGTTGACATCAGCTTTACCTAAGTAGAGCAATTCATTAACAACCTTAGAATTACAATAGGAAGCAGCATAATGAAGAGCATGAGCAGCATCAAGTGTGATGCTAGATTCCTCCAGAAGTAACTTCACCAATTCAACATCATTAGAGTCTAATGCCTTGTGAATCCTTCCAATTCTCTTTTCATTCAATGGGTCCACACTCACCAGATCATGGTCATCAGCTTTCTGAGATTCATCGCGAAGTGAGAGAATTTCACTTAGAACTTCAGGAGGAAGCTCCTTCTCAAGAACAACTTTGTCTAAATCCGAGTGCACTAATGTATGGACACAGTATGACAGAAGTTGCTTTAATTGGCAGTGAAAGGCTACAGCAAGAATTGGAATGACATCTTCAGAAAAAGCTTTATCAACGAAGTCAATAAGACGGCGCTGCATGTAAACAAAGAATATAATATCAGAATGTGTGTTATTATGGAATATATGCAGGGCATGCACATTCTATAACAGTGAAAAGAATAGTAAGCCATCGTTCAGCATGATGTGCAGGTTCTAATCAAGGTACATTACACATATGTTTCAAAAGTCGAGCTCCGCTGACTTCATACATTTTACAAGCAGCGCAGAGAGATATGACATATTTAAAGCCACATGATGTTGCCAACTCCTGCTTCCAAAGGAATAGGTGGGAAATATGGGGATAGATAAGCATGTTTGGAGAATTATTTAACAACATTACTAGAATAATATTTCCAGTTATTTTTCCAAATAGCATAATAGGAGCTTTATTAGACTAACAGAATATATGTCGTGAATCTATGCAGAATTTTTATGTACTTTTAGAGACCTTGTGCATCCTCCAGATTTAGTTAATTTCGAGTACAGTTATTTGAAATCAAAGGTGTTCAGAAAACAATGTTTAGTGAAGCCCAAGCCAATAACATAAAGAAACAATTCTATTTTTTTTTCCAACCACAGATTGTTGGAAAAAGAACTTTTCAAAACTCTGAAAGTGAACTCCGTATGTATGCATACTCATTCAACGAAAAGAGCTTAACCAATTAGACAGGACAAACCTGAACAAGCATAACAAGTTCTTTAATCTGAAAGGTTGCAGAACCATACATCAGTTCCACAGCATAATTAATAGCGGGGGGGCAAGCATCGTGAGTACAAGATTCATCAACACATGTTGAAACCTCAGGTGGAGATGGCTTAAGCTTTGCAGTATATAAGTAAGTTAAGAGAACCTTGAATGCTTCAAGTCCAATATTGTAATGAGGCACCAATTCTGACATGAGATATTTCGGCTTACTTTCCTTAACAGAATTGCCATTCCCATTCTTAAATAGCTCGTGGAAAAATGGACTCCGTGCAGCCAAAATACAGCGATTGACACCCACAGGGGTTCCCTCAACTTCTATCACTGCATCACTGTGGTCATAACCATCCTCAAGCAAAAGCCTTTCAAGGCTGTCACTCAGTCGATTCAAACTCAACAATTCAAGATTGCTTTCTACTTCATAGCCAGCAGGGGAAGGTAAGCTGAGGTTATTCGATTCCTTTGAAAGATCAGAAGCAACAAATTCATAAGATGAAGAATAGTCACTTCCACTATCCATGATAAACAGCTTAGTTGTCCCTCAGATACTAATTGTCATCCTCTCAGACAGGTAAACATTGACCTCTGTAGAGCAGCAAGCTGATAATTATCTCTCGTTTATTCAGGAGACCGAAGCACAATCCTATTGCAACTGAATTTCAATAACCAAAACTATACAGATCCGAGCCCAGGTCCTCAGGATACTTCTGAACCATCAAATACTTCCAAGAAAACAAGTTCCCAGCAATCAAAATTGAAGCCTTGCTCTCAAGATAATGAAAACTCTCGGGAAGATTCAATTTTCGAGTAGTTTTCAACTCTAAATAAAGCAAAATCTTGAAATCCCTATCGACTCTTCAAGCATAACCTGTTAATCGAATCACAAACAAGTTTCCTTATAACAACAATAAACAATATTTCTATCCCCCCATTCTCAAATCAGAGAAAACCCCTCAAATCAACATTTGCAGCTCATTAGTCAACTCACCAATTATTCATAATCTCATCTGGTCACCACAAGACTCAGTAAGCAATCTGCAAAGAGAAACTTAAATTTCTTAACTTGCAGAAATGAGTAAAATTCAAGATAGAGATCACATATCAATCAACCCTAGTTCAAGAACAAAATCAAAATTAAAATAGCCTAAGAACCCCCTTTGAGACAAACGCTTCATCTACAACTAAAACATATAAAACTGTTCAAGAAGCAGGCAAATAAGAGAAGCAAATTGCTTACCTTCCCTTAAAGATTCAACAAGCTTCACTTGGGTAGTTGTGTTGACTTTGCTAGAAAAAGGCAAACGAAGCAATAAAAACCCAAGAAGACAGATAGCAGTACTACTGACACAAAATCTTAACCCCAAAGTGCAAGTGATTGTTAGATTTTGAACGTGTGAGTATACACAAGGTGAGACTGGAGCCATGCCCAAACCCGAAAATCACGTTGACTGATTAGATCGTGTTTGGATAATCCTTGTAAAAGTAAAGTAACTTTTTGTCTACAGACTGATTAGTTATTTGTTAGGAAGTAAGTTTTATTTACTTATAAGTGATCATTTCAAGCATAGCCAAACATCTACTTGTTTCCAGCTCTAGACTCGTCTGCCGAAAATAATAAAAAAGAAAAGATTTGAGGTCCCCACGCGTGAAAAACCTTCAAAAGTGATCTCCGAAGATAAGGTATACAGTTAACGATGTCGACGATTCGCTCAAAGTTTTTTTGACTAGTCAACATTTGTCGAATGCATCTTTTAAATAAATAAACTTATCTATAAGTGAAAATAAATATTTTTTTATTAATAAAAGTTAAAAATAAGTAAGGATCCGTTTGATTGCAAGTGTGAAAATGGGTAGAAAGAAAATGAATTTCAGAAAACGCAATTGCCTAAAAATTGTTTTGCATGGAATTGTTAATTAAGTGTGTTTGATTTGTATAATTTTATACCTGAAAAATTTTAAAATTTGTGTTCGTTTTGTTTTGATTTACATGAAAATTGTCCATTAAAGTGAAAAAAAAAATTTACAATTAGTTATGAAATTTGTTTCCATTGCCACACACTAAAAAAATAAAAAACACAGTCAACTGGATGGAAATTAATTTTCTCCAAAAAAGAGGAAAATCAAACGCATGAGCAAGGAGCAACAAAAGAAATTCCCATCAACTTTTGACTCATCAAACACGACATTAGGTGGGAAATAAAAAAGAAATTTCTAATTCCATGGAATTTAATGCCTATTGCCTAAGGGTGTGTTTGATAGGAGATATTTTCCATTTTTTGACATGTTTGATGGTACAAATTTTTCCTATATAACTTTTTCCACAATTCCCTCACACGTGCCAATTTCATGATTTGGTGGAATTGGTTTTCCTACCTTTTTGGTGGGAAAATGAATTCCATGTTGCTTTTTTTTTTATTATTATTATTTTTTTTGGGCAATTGAAACAAAGTTCATAATCAATTGTAAAAAAAAAAAAATTCACTTTAATTGACAATTTTCATGTAAAATAAAGCCAAACGAACACTAAATTTTGATTAAAAAAAATGATTTTTTAGGGAACAAAGAATTTTTTTTCCTTTTTTTTTTTTTTGAACTTTTTGAAAATGGAAACAAATTTTATAACCAATTGTGAAAAAAATTATCACTTTCATGGACAATTTTCATATAAAATAAAGTCAAACAAACACAACATTTAAAAATTTTTCGGGTAGAAAATTATATCAATCAAACACGCTTAATTTCCAATTCACTAGAAAATAATTTCTAGAGAGTAATTCATTTTCTCTCCACCCATTTTCCACCCTTACAATTAAACGGGCCATAAGTTTCTTTTTATAAGCCTAATCAAAAATGCTTTTAGCTTTAAAAATCTAGATTATAAATAAGTTTATTCATAAATCAAAAGCGACTTTTAAAATAAATATTTTATATTAATTAAAGTAAAAAAAAAATAAAAAAATTACACAATTCCGTTTAAAGAAGATTAGAAATGACTCGACGTACCTGTAAAAACTGAAAAATAAATGTTTTAACGGAGGTGAAGACTTTAAAAAACCTTCTGTATTAATAGAACTTTAAAATGTTAAATTCATACTTCTATTACACAACAACAATTAAGGCTTTCTTGAAGAGCCACAAACATGAATTCTTACAAACTCAACAAATATTACAATGCATCACTGAGTCTTGTACTAGTATTTTCTGTGTCTCACTGGTTTCATTTCTGATCCTGATCTTGCAGTAATGTAGAATCCACAAAATCTATACCTTCTGTCTGCTTAATTCCTAACAAGTTAGCATTTTACGGCAAATTTGAGAGAGCATTATCCTTGTCTTCAGGATTTTCAAGTGCTGTAATATGTTTCTTGAATGAAGCTGCAGCTTCTTCCCTCTCATCTAACTGCCCCAGCTTGTCATAGACAATGGCCATCAAGTAAAAAGCTTCAGATGCCAATTCATGATGCTGTTCACAAGTAATGTTATCTCAGTGAAAATTGAAATACTAGATAATAATATGACTCCTAGAAAACTTGTAACAGCAGATAAAACATGTTTGGCTAAGCTTAAAAAGTAAGTTTCTTTTATGTAAATTTTGTTTCCAAACATGTTTAGATATGTTGCTCATTTTGAAAGTTTAACGAGTGTGGACTTGAGGACATTAGCATTGTTATTCTCTCTCTTTCCACTGGCATGTACAATGCAAATATCTTCAACTAATTAGAAACAATGAACCATATGGAGTCACTTTATGAAAGCAGTCCTCGTCAGACTACGCAAGTGTTCTAGATTTTGCAAGAGTAGATACCATGCAATTTACAGCAAAGGCACGATTGACTGTTGCCCCATCATCCAAAATTCGAAACTATCATAACTGAATTCTAAGATTCAATTGATGAAAACTACAAAGAAGCAAGGAAAGCTGCCATGAAAATAATTTTTAAAAAAAATCTATAGCCAGCCAAGGCACCTTAAGGAGAAAATAGATTTAAAAAGCTAAGAATTCTAGTTTTAAAAAGGAGGGTACTTAATAAGAGCTTTGCTCAAGCTTTTCAGAGATTTGAATCGTCAGATCATTTTTGAAGTAAACCAAATATGATTGTGAAACCAAATGAACTAGATGTATAGGCTATTCAAATTTTCAGGAGGTGCCTGAATTGGTGAAACCTTATCCAAATGATGTAAATACTAGGTCCAAGAAAGAGGAAAGTGTCATAGAAGCTGTCATATTCAGGTGCTTATGATGAAAAGTCCTTCCGGAAGGCAGGGCATCTATCAGGAAAGAAATACATAACTGTACTTTGAATTGTAAACGTCATAAATTCTAATGAAAACAAGGAAAAAATTTTGTTAAAAAGGAGTTTCTTTCTAAGAGCTTGTTTGAGCCTCATTTTTTCTTAATAATGCATTTTGAAATAGTAGATCGATGGAAAATGTGTGGTTGAAAAATAAGGAAAAAAATTGGGTTTATGTGTAATATTATTTTATTGAAGAACGTGTGGTTAAAAGAAGAGAGAAAAAAATTAGCTAAGCGGAAAACAGTACGGTGTTGAGACCTTAGAAATTTCACATAAAATTTTATGAACTATACAAGATAAAAAACACAAATGCACCAAGAAAACTGCAAGAGTAATGAAGATGGCGAAGATTTCTTCCATGGAAACGGAATCCAGACACAATCTGGTTTCGTGACCAGTTTTCCCATAGAGTTGCCTCATTATGAAAATGTTTCCCTACATTACCTGCTTAATAATTTACAATCCATAAGAGGAAACAACGTAAATGGCTGACATCACCCCAATTTCTTCATACCATAGTTGCGCAGGATTTTACATGAATTTCTCAAGAAGAGATCTATGACTAATATTAGGACAACCATTATCTCATTTCTAGCCAACATTTTATGTATGGACATAAGCATGTAGAGATAAGAGATTAACGGACCTCCAAAAGTTGAAGTTCTTCTGAAGCTTGCCTTAAAGGTTCCAGCACCATCTCCGGATCTTCAGAAACTGGGAAATATTTGCAAAAAGGACTATATTTTATAAGCTCAATGAGAAGAAAGAAAGTAATAATAAATTTGTTCAATCTTATTTATCTTAAGAGTTTGGACTTGGTCCTTTCCAGTGGAACCATAAATGTTCTGTTTCTTATTTATTGGCAAGTCTTTCTACATCTTTTCATTGCTTTATTTGCTTGGAGGTGTTAAATATTTCATCAGAAGCTATATATATAGCAGCAAAAACTACAGGGCTATGAACAATTTTCAATGAGTGAGCATTTATTTCCATTGCCATCAATATTTTACGAAAGTTACTTATGATTATCATGGTATAGCGTGACATATAGCTTGATAGATATAATTGTCAGACGTGTGAAATTTCCATGAAAAAGTGAACCGTGTTGAAGTCAAATTTTAAATAAATAAACTTTTTCCTCTATAGTAGCTCAAACTTTTATGCGGAATGGTACAATGCAAGTAACGGAAAAATATGAGCTTATCATCCTTCTTGATGGGTCTTTTATGCACATAAGATGGCATTGATAAATTTATAAAATCTGCATTCCACAACTGGAAGTTAATGGAAACTATGGCTTAATAAATCACTGTAATTCTCGAAACACAATTCAAGAAAACAGTGTACAACTAAACAAGCACGAAACCCAGTTGGCATATAATAATGGAAAGCACTACGACATGTGCTAACCCATCAAAAGAAACTGCTAGACCTGTGAGACCACCGCATCCTATAATACAATGAGAAAGGTTGGGTTGCTATAGGGCATTAGATATAGATGTTTCAATTTGCTATTAGTCGTTATTTTACTAACTAGGCCTTTTCCTTTTCTGAAAGGTTTTCTTATTTAGACGGGAAGCAGATACTGAAGTACCTGAAAAGCTTGGTTCAGCTAGATAGCATTTTGCTTCAGTTATAAATGCTCGACTGCGCAGCTCCAAACCACCATGGCCAAGTAGTAAGGGAAAAGCACCATGTATAAGGACTAAAGCTTTTTTTGCATGACTTGGTCCAAGAGAAAGCCATAGCTCAGCCAGTGTCAATGTTGCAGAGGCTTTGAGAAGATCTAAATTAAATGACTGGCAAAATGAAAGGCAAGCCAAAACATAGGGAATTCCTGAAACAGCGTTGCCTGATCTCTGAAAATGAAGAAAAAACAAAAATTAAAAGATGCATCACGCATTTACAATTTGTATATCAGTAAAAGAGGCTAAAGATGAAGGACGGGAGACAAATTGGTCAACAACAGAATATTATTAAATGCTTATACCAACTAACTAGCAAATGAATGTCAAATGCACAATGCAGTTATAAACCATTGAAAGACATCTTGAACAATAAACAGTGTTAAAGGGTATTTAGGTCTTTTATGTAATACCTAGGGTCTCCTAAGGTTTTCCTAACTCTTATTATAAATAGTGGGACAGGCTAACGTAATTGTTAAGCCTTCTAATTCTTTTACTTTAACAGA